AGAAAGACAAGTACCAAATGATTTCACTCATATGTGAAGTATAAGAACAAAGAAAAACTGAAGGAACAAAACAGTAGCAGAATCACAGAACCCAAGAATGGACTAAACTTACCAAAGGGAAAGGGACTGGGGAGGATGGGAGGGAAGGGAGGGATAAGGGCAGGGAAAAAAAAGGGGGCATTACGATTAGCATGTATAATATGGGGGGGGCATGGGGAGGGGTGTGCAACACAGAGAAGACAAGTAGTGATTCTACAGCATCTTACTGTGCTGACGGACAGTGACTGTAATGGGGTTTGGGGTGGGGGGGGACTTGGTGAAGGGGGAAGCCTAGTAAACATAATGTTCTTCATGTAATTGTAGATCAGTGATACCAAAAAACAAAAAAGATGGCCCACAGACAGATACTCAACACTAATCATCAAGGAACTACAAATCAAAACCACAATAAGAAATCACCTCATACCAGTCAGAGTGGCTAATATCAACAAATCAAGAAGTAACAAATACTGGTGAGGATGTGGAGGGAAGGGAACCCTTGTCACTGCTGGTGGGAATAGGATTGCAAATTGGTCCAGCCACCGTAGAAAGCAGTATGGAGGTTCCTCAAAAAACTAAAAACAGAATAACCTTTGACCCAGTAATTCCACTTCTGGAAACTTACCTGAAGTAAATAAAATCACTAATTGAAAAAGATATATGCACTCCTCTATTTATCACAGCATTATTTTCAATAGCCAAAATATGGAAGCAACTGAAGTGTCTATCAACAGGTGAATGGATAAGGAAGATGTACATATATACAATGGAATATTAACCAGCCATATAGAAGAATGAAATCTTGACACTTGTGACAACATGGATGGACCTAGGGGGTATTATGCTAAGTGAAATAAGAGAAAGACATATGGCATATGATTTCATTTATGTGTGGGATCTAAAAAAGAAAAGAAAGGAACCAGCAAACAAAACAGAAATAGACTCATAGACACAGAAATCTGCTTTGTGGTTGCCATAGGGAAGGGGGGTGAAGGGGGAAAAAAATTGGTGAGAATGTTTGATATCTTGATCTGAGTGATATTTACATGAGTGTATACACATGTCAAAGTTCATGGAGCTATACACCAAGATTTGTGCATTTTATTTTACATACCTCAATAAAAAAAATGTTAACCTCTAAAATGGATGATGGAGACTTGAAAATTTGTGGGTGTGCTCCTCTTTTTGTTCCTAGAGGGAAGTGAGTGATGGAAATCCCAACAAAGTTTACAGGGTACATTTTCAATAAATGCTGTTCTAGAGTCTAAAATTCCATGGTAATTAAATAAAATTTGATATATCTGTATCATGGACTACTCAACAGGTGCTAAAAAGAATCAAGTAGTTTATACACTAATAAACAAGTTACTTTAAAAACTGAGGTGGGGGCTTGTGGTTCCACCAAAGAGTAGCTCCATCCCAGGCTCTGTACGCACAAGTAAAGAACCCTATACACAACACAGAAGCATAGAAAGTCTCTGCAAAGTCTCTAAAGAAGGCGGACTACCTAGGGATATCATAACTTGAGGAACTACAGGACAATAAGGCCCCTGTTTTTCTCTCTTGCCTCCTGTACATCCTGGACAGGGCACTAAGGTATCCTCTTAGTTCAGGAAAATATACAAAATATGGCATCTTGGCTTAGTGAATATTTCAACTGAAGGAATTGAGAAATGGCAGGTGCAGGAAGGACTCTTTGAACCTCCCCTGAAACAGGTCATAAAATCCTCATGTGAGAGGTACGCTCCCTATACCTGGAAGAAAGGAGTGTCCTTATCTCTGAAGATAAAGGAACACAGAGAGGAATCAATGAACAGCCCTGCTAAGTTTTCCCCAATTTAATGCACTTGGCTCATACCCCTTTTTTGTCCTATCATATCTCTCTACAACTTTCCACTCTCCATGAAACCTATTATAAAAACATTTTCAGGTTTAAGTGCATTTTCTCATCTTCCTTTCCTTATGTAGATTCTCATGTCACATAAAACGTATAGGAAATAAATCTGTATGCTTTTTTCTGGAGAATATAGTCAATGATTCTGTAACATCTTCCTACGTTGACAGATAACTTCACGAGGGGGTGAGGATTCGATAATGTGGGTAACCATTGAACCACTGTGTTGTATGTCTGAAGCCAACATAAGATTGTATATCAACAATACTTCAATAAAAAAATTTTTGAAAAAAATACCTGTATGCTTTTCCCTTAAAACAATAAAAGAACAATAAAGAACAAGATCAAATCAATGGTCTTAGGCAGAGTTGTTTTTCTGGACTTAGCAGGACAGATGATGGATGAAACTAAGAAATAATCTTGAGAAATATTAGTAAGGGGGAGCACATACAGATTTCCAGCCTTAGAGAGGTTTAAGAAGACAGATAATTCCCCATGCTGGAATGTATCATCATCATCATCTGTCGTAGCTGGCCTCCTAGTGAGCATCTACTGATTCTTACTTCCCAGTACTCATGCTTTTCTCTTGTCTCCTGCCCAAATTCAGTCAAGGCTGGCCCTGAATACAGCTAAGGTGGTTCATAACTTCCAAGGCGATGTTATAAAAGGCACCGCAGCTTCTCCTTTGGTCTCTTACCTTGATTACCTGTTCCAGTATAAGCTAGCTGTCATGCTGTGAGGAAGACATTCATGCCATACTGCAGAGAAGCTCATGCAGCCTACAGCCTTTGCCAACTTGTCAGACATGTGAGAGAGCCACGATGGAAGTTGATTCTCCAATTCCAAACAAGTTTTCAGATGACCAGCCCTAGCCAACATCTGACTGCAACCTTATGAGAGACTGAAACAGAAATGCCCAATTGAGCCTCTCTTGAATTTCGGACTCACAGAAATTTTGAAAGTTAACACATGATTTTTATTGTTTAAAGCCACTGAGTTTTGGGTCTTTTTTTATATGCAGCAATAGACAATTAACATATCACCAACAGCAAACAATTATTGCTACTGTGAAAAGTATTCTGCTTATGGGCTGAACCACATGATCATTCAAGGTAACTTCTTCCTTTATAATGTTTTAACAGCATGACATGTTATTAACTCTATCTTTTCCTAAATATTCTTACTATTCAAGGAGAGTCACCCAACCAAATATTTAACAAACATCTATTAAGTTCAAGGTATCATTTTAGGCACTCTGCTGATTAAAGGTATGATGATGCCAATGATAACAGTAGCAATAAAAGAACAATGATAGACATTACTAATATTGACAACCAGCTATTTCGTCTTGGACAGTATTCTAGACACTGTATATAATTCTCATTATCTTAATATATACTGTCAATGTTTTCCAGAAAGGTCATACCAAGTTACACTCCCACCTACAATTTATAAGAACAGACTCACTGTATGTTTACTAGCACTTAAAAAAAGGTTTAAACAAAATCTGATAGGAGTAAAATAGAATAGTTTAATCTGCAATTCTATGATTACTAGATCTTGGTGTCTTAAGCACATTAAACCTCTGTCTGACGTATGCTACAAATATTTTTTTTCCAGGTTGGCATTGTGTTTTCTTGACATTTTTATATAGTCAAGTAAATCTCTTTGTAATTTCTTCCAGTTCTTTTGTAACTGAAAGGTTCTTGTCTATCCCTAGACCAATTAAATTTTCACTTGTGTTTTTTTGTTGCAGGATACAAATGTGTTTTTCTCATTACTGTATCTCTTTCACTATTATTAATTGAATAAGTTTTCTTTTCCCCACTGATTTATCATGCCACCTTTAACGTAAGTGACATTAATTTATCCTTCATTCTGAGAACTTTTTAAGGAAGCCTAATGTAGTTTGGGTAGCATGGGCAAGCTGAAGAGAAGCTCGGCTTGGAAGCTGTTCAGTTAGCAGGAACTTGAGATGACCAGAACAGGATACAGGTGAGAATTACCCCCACAGTGCGTGACTGGGTGCAAGTCAGACATGTGGGTAAGACAGAAACCTTTACCTATGTCAGGATTCTAATCTATAAACCACTGACTTGAGTTGGTTTAAGAGCTTTAAGGACTGGGTGCTCGTGAGAATGAGCACAGCTCCAGGCAGAAGGCTCACCGCCTTGCTCCGCCCCTCCGGCCCACTGGGAGTCCAACCCAGCTGTTAGGGCACGAGCTACTGACGTCATGTAAACGTGACGTCATCACTGACGCGGCTTCGCGGGGAAGGGCCTGTCAGCTCACCTCAGAGCGCAGTCAAGCCCACGGAGCAGCGCGTTGGCCGCCTCGCGTTTTGCCCTGAGGATCCGAGTAGTCAGAGCCGCGCGAACCGAAGCGCCGAAGTTGCCCAGGAGCTGAGGAGCGGCCACTTCCCACTTCCTTGGCCCTGACCCGCATCCTGAGGCCCAGGCGCTGTCCAGGCAGGAGCGCGTTCACGAACCCGCCGCTTGCGGCGGCCACGCGCGCACGCACGCTTGCGCGCACGTTCCCTGGGAACCCGGAAGTGCGAGGGAGAGGAGAGCCACGTGGGTGGAGCTCGAGCGCAGGTCGCATGGGGGAGTCTATCCCGCTGGCTGCCCCGGTCCCGGTGGAACAGGCGGTGCTGGAGACGTTCTTCTCTCACCTGGGTATCTTCTCTTACGACAAGGCCAAGGACAATGTGGAGAAGGAACGAGAGGCCAACAAGAGCGCGGGGGGCAGCTGGCTGTCGCTGCTGGCGGCCTTGGCCCACCTGGCCGCGGCCGAGAAGGTCTATCACAGCCTCACCTACCTGGGGCAGAAACTAGGTACCTCCGCCCCGCCCTGTGCCCCTTGAGAAGGAAGGAAGGGGGTGTAGTGCCCGATCGGCAGTAGCTTGGGTTCCCTGTCTCTGTCATTCCTAGCAGCAGGCTCAACTCGGCACTGGCAGCTGTCCTCCCACCGTTACCCTTCCTTCCCTCCGCTTCCACGAGCCCCGCCCACCGGCCTCCGCTGCTGATAGATTGGCCGGCAGGGTGGCTGCTCTTTGCAAGGCTGTGCCCCAAATCGATGGGTGTATCAATTTGTCCAGTGCATGGATTGATGTCCTATGAGAAGTTAAGCAAATTATGTCCTCGCTCTTATAACCAGTGACACTGCGGCTAGAGGAGCAAAACTTGGCGATACAACGTAGAGTTAATGAACACTGTTGTCTGACCTCTTAAGGTTAAGGCCCCGGAGAGTTAACAGATGGAGTCCTACTCCCTCCTCGTAGGCCCTCAGTAAATAATTAATGAAGAAATAAATGAATATTGGACAGGAAAAGCAAGAAATATGCCTAACGCTAGCAAGAAGGGACTTCCAGGGGAAAATGGTAAACACTCTTACTGTCCCATGATAAATCTTGCCTCTGAAAATAAGGCGAAGAGCCGATTCTACTGATTTTCACTAGTAGAAACAAATAGTATGAACAAATCAGAAAGAAATAATGTGAAAGCCAAGGGCTATGCATACAAATTATTAGCACCTATAATTGCCAATAATAAATAGGAATCTCATAACGTTGAGGGCTGTTTTAGTACTTTGGCCTATTTTAGACCCCTTAATTATCAAGCACAGGGTCTGGTATGAATGAAGGACACACACAATACAGAATAGAAATGTAAAACGGGTGTAGATTCCATTTTAACTTTTCCCGTTTATTGCCTGAAGGAGACCATGTACATCTTGCTTTCAGTAAGCACTCAGGGCCGGGCTTCTGAGATCTTAACTTATGCCTCAGCTATTAAAATACTAACTTGTTAGTGTGTTGACCTACTGGCAAAAACTGGTTAGATAGATTGACCTTGTGCATTTTTTTGCTCCCCTGTTTACAGTAGCACTTCTCACAAATTAGCAGTTGCTGCACACTGGCAAATTGTGTACATGCAGCTGTGTGGGTAGGCAACAGCCCAAACCAGAGTATCTGTCAAAGATAGTAATATAGATTATCTTTGTATCCATGTAATTTATAAGAAATTTGAACATGTGTTGTAATTTATATATACTATGTATATTTATGCAAATGTGAGGATTATGGCTGTAAAATTTAAGGGTTATTTTCTGGCAATTTTGTTTTTAGGTTCCCCCACCTTATGAAGAATGGTGATTGGCCCCAGTGCCATGATTTGTTTTTTTAAGCTCATCTATGAGAATTTTGATGAGACCTGGGGACTTATTTCCCATAAAAATATGTAATACAATTTTGCATAAAATCTAAGAGGGTTCAACCTGGATTTCCTAAAGGCTATTAATGGATTCCAGAGTTAAATCTGCTACTCTAGTTTAAGTTGTATGTTCCTGATTTTAGCCAGTTCCAGAACTGGCTGCCCTGTGTTTAGGAATATGTGAAAGACCATCAGTGTCCCTGACTTGAGTTTTGTGAAATGGTCCTAATTATGCAAAGTGACTAATTCTGCATGGACCTCAGCTTACATTGATGAAGCTGAGGGCTACACCTTGAAATTGACCCATGGAGCAATTTACACTGTGAAACATGCCCAGGCACTGCTGAGGCTCCCAGGTGATCTGTCACGTCTGAGTAAATGGTCTGAAAATGGCATGTCTCATGCCTCATAACTTATTCACATGTTCAGTAAATGTAGGTTACAGATTAAACATTTTAACTTTAGAAATATCTTGCAGTGTTTTGATGCTCGAATGTTTGTGATATCAATGTGCTTACAATAGGACTTCATGATTTTTGGATTGACTCATTACCTGAAAAACTTGGGGAAAATTTTTTGTGTTGCCCTTTAAAGTTCCATGTTCTTCAACTGTTGTGCTAATTAAAATGTTTCTATGGTTTTCTTAAAAAACTCACTGTTTATGTATATTTTTTAAACATTTAAAACATGGCTCAAAAAAAGTCTTTTTGACTTCAATCTTGTGACCAGTGTTTATGGGAGGCCTGAGCAGTGAATCCTGATTATAGATGCAAGTGTGGCCCTTGGACACAGACAAGACAAAGGACAGACCAGACAAGGAGCCGCTGTTCCTGTGTTGGCTCAGGTCTGAAAAACTTTTGAGTGGAGCCTTCATCTGGGAGCTTTCTCTTTGCTTTGAGGGGAGAATATACCTGTTTGGAGAGAGTACAGTGTTAAATACTCTGATTCAATGCCTATGGAGGAATTTATGCCATACTTTTCTCTCCTTTGTTTCATTACTGGACAGTTGTTGGAATTTAGCATGGTTGAAAATGAGTTAAGAGCTCATGTTTAAAAGTTATTAGCAAGAAGTCACAATAAAATATTCACCTAGATGTTTTGCATGCTTTAACATACTTATTTAAAATTCTATGATGTGAGATGGACTGTTGAAATCTTTTAAAAATGAGCATTCATAAGTAGAACCTTCTGAAAGTAATTCAAAATAATGGTATTTTATAAATTCAAAAAAAAACTGAAAGAGAAGGAAGTCTGGTGTCTCTTGATTCTTTCTGTCCCAGCATGAAGGAGAGCCACTCCCCATTGGATAATCCTAACCAGGGTAGTCAACAAATAGGATTGTACTTCTGAGAACTCTGAGAAAAGGGAGACCTGTTTCAAAGAAATGTGTTGGTGGTCTCTCCCTTCCTTGTACTGTCATTTTACTTGGGTTCACATAATAGTGATTGATGTTTATTGATAAGCTTTTAAAGGTGTTCTTTGTATTTATGTGGTATTGCTACACTCCTAGATAAGGGTAATCTGATGAAGAAAGGTATCCCTTTTTCATTTGGAGTTAAAATTTTCACCAGGGCCACTCTGTTTTAACAGTGTAAGTGAGTACATGGTTGAGGTCACCTGCCTGTCAAACAGATAGCTAGCTAGTCCTTTTACTTGAAGCTCCCAATTTACCAGTTTCAGAAATTCAATTATGTAGTATTGAGAGTTGTATTACATCAGTTATAAATGGAAGGAAAAGGAATTAGTGTTACTGAATATGTGCTTTGGTCCATGCATTACATAACAACTGTTATTTCATTTAGTCTTTATAGCAGCTCTATTACTGGTTTCACATTAAAAACAACTAAGACTCAAAGTGGCTAAGTCAATTTGCACATCACACAGCTTGGAAATTTGGAAGCTGGGATTTGAAACAGTCTGTCAAACTTCCAGAGCTTCCAGAGATTTTTGTACTAGACCTGGACATGGAGGTCTGTTTATTACTTTACAAAATCTGCAAAGCTAGACTGAACGTGGGCAAGGAAGGCAGGCAAATGCACCAGGGTACAGTCCTGTGTGGGATGTTGATGTCTACTTCAGTCCACCTGTACCATGTGGTTTCTGCTATTATTAGGAGAAATGATGTGAATGCCAATTTGTTTAGGCAATGTGCTAGAGAAAACACTTTTTAAGCATTAGGAGTTTGTCTGTGGAATCCGTAGTAAATAGAGTGACCTACTGTCTAGGTTTGCCCAGGGCTGAGGGGGTTCCTAAGACTGAGACTAAGGACTTACCAAGGAGTCAGACTTTTCAGCGCTAAAACCTGGAAAGTCATGAGTAAACTGGGACAAGGTGCTCTTCATAGTAGTAAGGGATATAGGATTCATTTCTTGAATCATGAACTGGGCAATGAACTAAAAACAATACTGTGGTATGTTTCATTAAGAATAAGAATATATCTTACAAATGCCTTGATAAAAAATGTTCACTCCTAATTGATACATTTAGGATAGCAATACATTCATTCATTAAAGCATTCTGGTATATATAATGGAAAATTTAAACTTTCACCCATCTCTGGGATTTTTGTATTCCTAGGAATTACTGTTTAAATCTGCCCTGCTCATTTCACTTTCCTAATGTCTTGCCTCTGACCCTTTGCTAGGGTGCAGGACTGCTTCAGAAAACATCTTTGAAGCTATAGTGTGAACCTCATCAAGAGTACTGAGATTTCCTTTTCCTCCCAGCATCCCAGTGGTCTGTGTTCCTGTGTAAGGGATATGTATGTGTGTGTTTTCTATTTTCTGGTATGGCTTAAAAGAGAAGATTCAAAGGAAAATGCAACTGTAAATCAGAAATAAAACTTTCTGATTTACCAGGGTAACAACAGTGTTTCATAATTGGGTGTTCTCTTTTGTTTTATATGTATTTATGTGGAAGGAGGGCTTTTTAGATCCAGGTCAATGTCATTTTCCAGGTTAACTTTCCTCTGAAATAAATATGAATTCAAAAAAACTGAAATGGGCTGGGGGAGAACTGGTACATGGGTAAGGAAATCATACATAGGGCTGCTGCTACACTAATGAGCTGTACCAGGCATCCATTTAACTTACTCCTCAGTGAAGTAATGAATCATAAAATACCTAAATCCCCATCACAGAAGTCAGAGAATAGGACAGATGAAACTCACAGAGCTCAGCAGTTTCAGGCTCTTGCTTGTGGGTGCTGGGAGGTGTTTTGTGATTTTGGACTCTCCTCCTCACCTATCATGTGCTTGTGTCATTTGCCTCCCAGGGGGCCAGTCTTTCTTCAGCAGGAAGGATTCCATCCGCACCATCTATACTTCTCTGCAAAATGAGCTAAAGAAGGTGGTGGCTGGCCGTGGTGCCCTGGGCGCGGCTGCTCCTCATGTAGAAGAACTCCTTTCCCACCTGTCAGAGCAACTCTGCTTCTTCGTTCAGGCTCGGATGGAGATTGCAGACTTCTATGAGAAGATGTACACTCTCAGCCCACAGAAGTTCATTAATGCTGAAGAACTTGTTGGCCTTTTGGACACCATCCTAAAGAAATACAGCTCCAGGTCAGTGTAGGTGAGGAGGGAGGGCGTGATGGAGCATGGCAGCCTCTCAGTCCCACACAGACTGTCAGTTTTTCCATGCACTTTTATGAAAATCTATGATGAAATCACTTTGAAGGAGAAATGGCTCTATTACATTTTGTACATATTAGTTAATCAGCAGTTATCTATTAGACACATTCTTTGACCTAAGATGACACCATGCTGGATGGATACTTGTCTAAGCAATAGTGAAAGACCAAGAATGAAGTAATCCTTAATGTATTGCACCTGATTCTGCTGCTTATCAAAGAGTTCACACAAGGGAATTGTATATAAAATAATGTGACTTTTAAACAAACCACTATTCAAATAAATGTCCCTTTCAAAGTAATCACCTTGATGAGTTATACACTTGTTCTTCTGATGAAGCCATTACTTAACATGTTGGAAATGCACTAATAATTGCTTTCAGTGCCTGTGGCATAGTTTGGTTTAGTTTTAAATTTCCTTAGTGGAGTTAGGCATCTATACTCTGGAAGAGGGCATATTTATTTTTGTTTTTGATGGTCAAAAGTCATTTGTGGCCCATTTATTCTTTTTAAAAAGATGATGATCAGTTGGAAAACTTATTTGAAGGAAATTTCTACTTATAAAGAAATAAGACTGTAATGTATTGCTCATTGCCTGACCCAAAAAGCAACACCAGAAGAATCTGAGAAGCATTGTGAACATCACTGATGCACCTGAGCCAGTGTTACTTTTGGGTCCCTGGAGCTGGCATAGTGCCTTGCACATAGTAGATGCTCAGTAATTTTATGATGGACTGAATGGAAAGTGAAAAACTTTGCAGGATACACTCCTTTGGATATATGATTTCAGATACGTTTGCTTAAAGAAGGGAGATATGTTAATTTAGAGTCCCAAATGAAGGATAATACTTATCTGAGTGACAGACTAGGGGAAGGAGGCAAAGTAAGGAGATTTTTGAAAAAGACTTCATGAAGGATGTAGAATCTAAGATGATTTTTAAGGGCAGGCAGGATTTTAAAAGCAAAGGAAGGAAAGAAGGGAGCAGGTGCTTTCAGACTTGAAGGTGATTTCAGAATACTTAAAGTCCTCAAGGGGTTTTTGGTACTTGCTGTTCTCACTTCCTGAAATGCTCTTGTCGTAGCGGTCAACTTATCATTTAGTCTTGGTTCAAATGGCAGAGTCTTTTTCATTATCCTCCCAAAACTATCACTCAGTCATTACCCTGTTTGCCTGCTTTATTTTCTTCACAGCCCTTATTGCCATCTGAAATTACTGTTATTCGCTCAGGATGTTTTTTCTTTTCTCACAACTAGAATGTGAGCTTGCTTTTGTGTCCTCAGCACCTAGACCAGAGCCTAGCACCTAGTAGGTGCTTAATAGATGTTTGTTGAATCAATGAAGTGAATAGTTGGTAAACAGTGAGCAACCATGAAATGCTCTTGAAAAGAGAGTGTCATGTTCTCATCTTTATCTTGGACTGATTACTGGGGCACTGGTGTGTGGGATGGGATGGTAAAAGAACTGGTTACAGGAGGAAAGCTTAGTTTAGCAGACTATTATGGTAATCAGATAGGTGGTAGTAGGACCTCATGGTTGCAAGAGAGCAGGAAGGGAGATGATAAGAAAAGTCTACAGGTCTTTGCAACAGGATGGTGGGATTAGTAATAAAAGGTTTCTGTCAATTGGAGGTTCTGCATTTCCAATGATAATGTCATGTACAGGATTGAGAAGAGGGGCTGGCTTAGCAGGAAAGTAGCCAGCAAAATTTGGGGCAAGTTGAGCTTGAATTGTTAGCAGATTTTCAAGTAGAGATTCAGAAGGCAGTTGGTAGGGGTCTAGAGCTCAGAGGAAAAGCCAGAAACAGAGAAAACAATTGGAGGTCATCTGTATAGAGAAGTAGACTTAAAATAGTTTTTTAGTTTCAGAACTAAAATATCAACATTTCTTTAATAAAGAAACAGTTGAATTTTAAGCTTGCAGAAAAGGGAAGCAATATTTACACACAGCTATTTTGAAGAAAACTAGAACATATCAAGCAACTTCTGTGTGCTAAACATTATGAAGACCCTTTTATGTGTTACCTGATTTGAGATGTAGGTAGAGATATTACTCCTGTCACGGTGTCTCAGAGAAGTTAAGCACACCATGGTCATGCAGCTTATCTCTGAACCCACCTCTCTGCGACTCCAGAGCCCATATGCCATGTTCATTGTTGCTTATATCAAATTTTGAGATGCTTCTTATATAATCCAGATAAATGATTTATCTCTGTTGATCATTTTGCAAGTCAGTACATAAGATCGGTTCTTATTTATTGAATGAATAGTAAGACTATAAAGTAATAGCCTTCTGTCATAGTAAGAAAGAAGATATCATAAGCACTTACTAAATTCCCCTGTAAGGAGTAAGAGTTGTATATTACTAATATCATGTAATGTTCATTTTCTGTCTGAGCACAAGATAGTGGTTAATATAGTATTATGTTATTATTATTCTTTTATAAAGTTTCCCCTAATTTTTTATTTTGAAATTTTTAATCCTATAGAAAAGCTGCAAAAATAGTATGAGCATAGTTACAATATGACCAGCAATTCCACTCCTAGGTTTCTATTAAAGAAAAATGAAAACACATGTCCATATGTAAAAACTTATACATATATGATCATAGCAACATTATTGACAATAGCCAAAAGGAGGAAACAACCCAAATGCCCATCAGCTGGTGGATGAATGGATAAATACATGTGGTATATCCATATAATGGGAGATTATTCAGCAATGAAAAGGAAGTACTGATACATGCCACAACATGGATGAGCCTTGAGAAATTATGCTACAAGAAACCAGTCACAAAAGATCACATATGGTGTCATTCCATTTATATGAAATGTCCAGGATATACAAAGTCATAGATACAGGATACACATTACAAATTTATTGATACAGAAAATGATTGCCAAGGGTTGGTGTTGAAGGGAGAATGGGAGTGACTGCTAATGGGTATTAGTTCTTCTGCTGGGGTCACAAGACTGTTCTAAAATTAGATAGTGGTGAAGGTTGTCCAATTCTGAATATATTAAAACACTAAATTATTTTTGTTTTCTTTTGGTATCATTAATCTACAATTACATGTTTACTAGACTCCCCCCATCACCAAGCCCCGCCCCCAAACCCCATTACAGTCACTGTCCATCAGCATAGTAAGATGCTGTAGAGTCACTACTTGTCTTCTCTGTGTTGCACAATTTCCCCCCCTTATCCCTCCCTTCCCACCCATCCTCCCCAGTCCCTTTCCCTTTGGTAACTGTTAGTCCATTCTTGGGTTCTGTGAGTCTGCTGCTGCTTTTAAACCACTGAATTTTATACTTTAAAAAAGTGCTTTTTATGTATGTGAAGTATCAGTAAAGCTGTTACTAAAAAAAAAAAAGCAATCAAACCAACTGTACAACGAACACACAAATATCACTTACCTGGATTCACTACTATTAAAATTTTGCCACATTTGCTGTATCTCTTTGTGTATAATTTTATTTACCTGAGTTTTTTGGAAGTATAATGTAAACATCATGACACTTGATTCCTAAATACTCAGGTTGTATATTCTAAGAATAATATAGAATTATAACATAGTTTTCACACACAGAAAATTTAACACTGATTTTCTACTACCATGTGATACACGTCCATATTCAAATTGACCCAATTGTCCCAAAAATGTCTCTGTAGTTATTTTTTTTGTCATTTGTTTTTTACCTTTGTGATATATTGTAGATTTTCTTTTTTAAAAAATTTTAAATAGGTAATACATTGACACAATTCAAAATTTATAAAGCACATTTATAAAATACAAAGTACTTTATAAATTTTGAGCTGTGTTAATGTATTACCTATTAAAGAATACATGGTGAAGATGAAAAATAAAAGAAAAAAATAAAAACCATATAGAAAAAATATATTAAAGAACAGAAATATGTATTAAAGAATATATAGTGAAATATCTATCTCTTGCCCCTGTCCTTTAGTTACTCAACTTCTTTCCTAAGAGGCCATGAATATTAGCAAGTTCTTCCTATCATTCTAGAGAAATAGTCTATGAATTTAAATAGATACATTTTTAAACAAATTTTACATATTTATACATTTTCTAGGTTTAGAAATAGTCTTTTCTTTCTTTCTCAAATGTGAATAGTGTATGTTTTCTTTTAATAAAATAATTTTTTGAAGACAAAAAAAATGAAAGTATGGTTGGAGATATGATTCTCAAGTGGAAGAGATATCTCGTGTGGTGGTTCCCAAATGTTAATATGAAAGTGCTTTGCTGGACCATTCTGGAAGCTTAAGAGAAATAGCCAAATCTGGATTCGGTGCCCAGAAAACTGTACATTTTAAAAGTTTTCTTTAAATGATACATAGCTACATGAGAAAACTGGATAAATAAGAGAAAGAGGCCTACACTGGGCTATATTGGGTACTGAACCTTACCCATGTGTGCATGTGCATGTGCATGTGCGTATATGTGTGCATCTCAGCTAGGAATGATTATTATTTAACTATTTCCATTTTTATTTTATTAGATTTGTGATCTGTCATCTTTGAAACATCCCATTTCTCAGGACATTGGGAATTTCTCCCATTTCCCACAAAAGCCTGGATTTCATTCTTGAAGTTCTTAGGGTAGTACTTGGCTGAACCTTCATCCTTCTGAGTGGATGCTAATGGAGTCTGATGGAGCTGGGTTGCAGTATCACGTATGGTCAATGTGTGTTTTCATCTACAGTCTCCCAACTTTCACCCATGCTATATTTTCTAGTTAACAGTAATTACTGATCACAGATATATCCTAGCCTGAAAAGTATGTAAATTAGAGGCTTTCAGTTAAACAACATAAATTCTTGAGCTAAGAAATTCTGAAAATTTGCAATTCTGTATATTGATTTTCTTTGAGAACTAGAGCTATTTTAGGTATAAATTAATGTGATTTCCCCTTTGTC